AAAAAAAAAATTAAAAAAAAAATAAATAAAAGTGAAACGGTCTTGAATGTAATTTTGCCCACCAGATGTTTATTGAGTTACAAAGCTGGTTTTAGATTTGTGTTTCCCAAAGTGTCTCTCATGTAACGCTAGTTCCAAAGGGCGTCAACAGACGTGTATTGTTGGGGGAGAATAAGAGGTTTGTGTGTTAAAGTGTGTTACACACCAAGGTAAGAAACGTTAAACAGATTTCATGATTGTGGGCCCCCTCAAGGGCTTTAATGTATACACTGAGATTCTTCAAGGGGGGACCCGTGTACTATTCAAACATTTCTAGAACTCCTTTCTTTCAGGGCATCTTGTTGAAACTGGTGTTTAAAAAAACAAAATAAAACAAAACAAAACAGAACAAAAAACACTTTGGAAACAGCTTTAGGACACTGATTTTTCTTTTTTCTTTCTTCTCTTCTTTTCTTTTCTTTCTTTTTGGTTTCTTATTTTAAAATGCTGAGGAGTGAAGTCCCACCCTGAATACTACAGGAAAGCTTTGATGCATTTGTAAATTATACCGAACTCTTTCATGACATATTTTCGAAGTCACTGGAATGTTGTTATACAAGAGAATTATACTTATGCATTGTAAATAACATTGAAATACATACATTAATGCCAATAGTTCAACAATGTAATCTAAGGTGCTCATGACTACATGAAGTATGAGTTAATTGCTCATAATTAAATTGCAAAGATCCTATTATATATTTATAGACAAATTAAAATGATAATTACAAATATTTCTTCATCACATTAAGTTTTAGACTGATTAATATCTGGGTGGGGGTCAACAAACTACATTCTCTGCATTTACAAAAACTTAATTTAAATATTTATATTTTAGAAAATATACATTTGGATAAATTTATGCATTTTCTGAATAAAAATGTGTTATTAGCAAGAAATAGACAATTTTACTAAGAGAATTGTGTATACGAATCATTTTTTTTTTCCTTCACAGTTAAAGTGTATCATATCTGAGTGGCTATGATGAATCAATTTCAAGTACTCATTTTTCCTCGTTCTGAATTCAGCAAATTACAATGATTTTATACTGTAGATTTTAATCTTGTCTTGATGTGTGTTATGGATGTTGTGAAAGACACAAAGTCCTATGTCTGGATACAGTCACTGCGTCATTTTGGGGAATTTGTTTTTCTCCAATCTGCTTTGTGCTCAGTCCGTTTCTTATTTGAATCAATGAATTATTAAATTCACATTTGTCCCTTTAAGGGTAAATCAATACAAATGACTGATGTTTTAACTGTACTTACTGAGAAGCTACCCATTTTGCTGGTAGATGTGGTTAGGTGATCCCTAAGCATCCCAGGGATTTGAAGAAGGCCAACAGGAATATAGAAAGCAATCTCTTTCCTGACTTGAACTAAGTAGAAGAAAAAAATCATAAACGTCTTAAAAACATCCACGTGGAGGCGTTTAATTAATTCTATCAATTTATGGAATTAAAATGCTGAAAAATGCATTCTCCTACAATTAATGAGCAGGGCCTTTCGGGCCCTTGTTTTACAAATATTAGTCCATCTTGAGGGGAGTGGGCTGGGGTGAGGGGGTAATATTTGAATGTACCTTGAGTTAAAAAAAAATGTGCCTATGTTTATAGCACCATGGATATCATGTAAACTTTATGAATTAAATAAATATTCACCTCTGAATATGGTGGACTGGTTGGTGGTTTCATGATAGCCACGGACAGAATGTGAAGACACATCCCACTATTCTCTTCCTCCAAGACTGGCCTTGGAAGGTGCTAATGGGTAACGGAGATGCCACTAGAAAGTTTGGTGTGTGGGGGTTTTGTGTATAATTTCAGGATGGGTCTTCATCTGGAGCTTAGGGATCTTGGCTCTTATTTTAAACTAAAAATACATGGGATTTGACCTGTATACCAAGCTCCAAATACTCAAATCTTATGTAGTACTGCAACTTGGTTTGTTTTTAATTGCTTATAATGGCTTAGTCTATGGCTGGGAAGTCTTTTTACTATTTGAAAATTTAGTAGTATTGAGATTACATTTAAAGTGTAGAATCTCGGGGCGCCTGGGTGGCGCAGTCGGTTAAGCGTCCGACTTCAGCCAGGTCACGATCTCGCGGTCTGTGAGTTCGAGCCCCGCGTCGGGCTCTGGGCTGATGGCTCAGAGCCTGGAGCCTGTTTCCGATTCTGTGTCTCCCTCTCTCTCTGCCCCTCCCCCGTTCATGCTCTGTCTCTCTCTGTCCCAAAAATAAATAAACATTGAAAAAAAAATAAAAAAAAAATAAACTGTAGAATCTCACTTTTGAAGAGAATTTAGAGGTCATCAAGCACATTATTGCCAAAAGTTTATTTATAATTTTAACACCACCACCTTAGTGTATCTTAGGGTATATTTGCTAGAAATATAGCAACATAGTGTATACATATAAAAATGAATACACACCAATTAAATTCTTTAAAAAGTTTGTACCACCTGAAGTCATACCATATACACTACTGGTCCAAGTGCTACATTTTGGGAAACACCAACCGTGCATAATATTCCACTAAACTTAGGTGACTCTTCCTGAACATCCCTTGCAGTGTTCATTCTGCCTGAAGTTGGAAGTGTTCAGCTATGGGATGGGGGCTCCCGCTCTCCTGAGGCAGGTCATTCCACTGCTGGATGACTAGAGTTGTTGGAAAGTCCTTTCATTTTTAGAGCCAAAACTTAGGTCCGCCTGACTTTCAGTCATGAATCTGTTATACCCTAGAAAACACTGAAGTCCGATCTCTTTTCCACACGAATGTCCTATATATAGTAAAAAGACAAATCAAGGCTGGGGGGTTGCTAGGCAATATAAAATTATCTGAAAATGGCTTTAAATAGGACACAAATGCCTTGTTTTTATCCCTAAAGAATCAATTGGCCAAGATTAAAACTCTCCATAATAACCTAGTGGTGGAGAGTGATGGGAAAACGGGTATTTATAAGCCCCTTAGTAGGTGTACATTTGGCAATAATTTGGAAGGCATTTGGCAAAATCTATAAAAATTTTAAAATACACATACCTTTTGATTTTAAGATTTATTCTAGAGATGTAAGTAGACTAACATAGAAGGATCATCTTTGCAGCATGTTTGGAACAAGAAGCTAAAAAGGTCAATGAATAAGCTAAATAAATCTTGGCACACTGATGTATTAGAAGACTGATCTGTCTCTAAGTGCTAACGTGGACAAAATGGCTAAATGCAAGTTCTGCAAAATGTAGATAAAACCACAGATACATAGATATACAGTCCATCCTTTTTTTTTTTTTAATTTTTTTTTCTCAACGTTTTTTATTTATTTTTGGGACAGAGAGAGACAGAGCATGAACGGGGGAGGGGCAGAGAGAGAGGGAGACACAGAATCGGAAACAGGCTCCAGGCTCCGAGCCATCAGCCCAGAGCCCGACGCGGGGCTCGAACTCCCGGACCGCGAGATCGTGACCTGGCTGAAGTCGGACGCCTAACCGACTGCGCCACCCAGGCGCCCCCATCCTTTTTTTTTTTAAGTGTTTCTCAGGAAGAGTGGCACCTGCCAGGGCATTTTGGAAATCTGTGCTGGTGTGGTTTTGTCATCACAACGATGCGGGGGTGGGGGATGGGGGGACACAGTATTTACTGAACAAGAACCACGGCTGGTAGACTTCCTGCCAGGTGATGACAGTCCCCACATCCAGTGGAATTGTTTTGTCCTCTGAGATGTTCTTGTAGGTGAAAAACATAATTATCTGAGCCTAGACCCTGACTACATTTTACATACAAGAACACTTTTTGACTGGTTCAATATATTCTGAATTTTCTAGGTGTGCAGCTACCATGCACATGGAAGGAAGACTGTGTTTTTGTTTGGCTCAGGGTATTTTATAAAATGTTTTATAAAAACAACTCACCCTTAGCCAAGTGCGTACGTACATGGGACTAGAATCATCAACACAGAACACCTGGCTACTTGGATGTGCCTCATTCACACTGAATCTAGGCAAAAATAGTCGACTACTTTTATCTTTTAGTGGAGTTGTACCCCAGCATCTCCATATTGAAATGCATTATTATCTTACTATCATTATTGTCCTTTTCTAAAACTTCTTTACCTTACAGTTAGGGGATCTCAATCTTTTTTTTTTTTTAAGTTTACTTATTTATTTTGAGAGAGAGAGAGAGGCAGCAGTCAAGAGTGAGAGGGAGCATGCATGCAAGTGGGGGAGGGGCAGAGAGAGAGGGGGAGACAGAGAATCCCAAGCAGGCTCCGCACTGTCGGCGCAGAGCCCAGTGCGAGGCTTGATCTCACAAACCATGAGATCATGACCTGAGCCCAAGTCAGATGCTTAGCCAACGGTGCCACCCAGGCGCCACTAGGGGATATCAACTTTAAAAAAAATCCTGGGGCGCCTGGGCGGCTCCATCAGTTAAGCATCTGACTTCGGCTCAGGTCATGATCTCACAGCTCATGAGGTTCAGTCCCTAGTCGGGTTCCGTGCTGATGGCTCAGAGCCTGGAGTGTGCTTCAGATTTTGGGTCTCCCTTTCCCTCTGCCCCTCCCCTGCTCACACTTGCACTCTCTCTCTCTCTCAAAAATAAACATTAAAAAATTTTTTTTCTTAAACAATCCTGAGTGCATGTAGGTTATGTTACTGCGGTAGACACATCCTATTCATCTCAGATTCCCTCGATGCCATCATTTGTTGGCCTAGACTCTCAGCTGCTTGCTTAACCACAGGCACCACCACAGCCAAGCTAAGGAGATGCATCCTTGAGTTCCCGAGTTTTGTCATCAATTCCAGACTTGGGTGAAAAGCCACACACTGTAGGGGATAAAAACTGGTGTCCTGGGGCGCCTGGGCGGCTCAGTCAGTTACGCATCCGACTTCAGCCCATGTCATGATCTTGCAGTTCAAGAGTTTGAGCCCCGCGCCGGGCTC